TCTTTTAATCCTCGCACTTGGGAGGCAGATGAGCTCGAGGACAGCCAAGACACAGAGAAACCCTGTCTTGAAAAACAAATCAAAAACCAAACAAACAAAAATTAAGCTTAAACATGTCTTTCAAAACAGAGGAAAGAAAGGAGTTCTTGGGGCAGGAGGGAAAACCCAGGCCAAGGAGAGAGCGCCAGTCTCCAGGGCAGAGACTTGCTGCATGCATCAGACTTACTGCTGTGGCCTGAGCTTGCGGATGGAGGCCTACCTCACTGCCGTGCCCCTTCTTGTGCCCCTGCAGCCTGCAGCCCCTCTTCCCTGGTGTGAACGAACTGGACCAGATCTCAAAAATCCATGACGTCATTGGCACACCTTGTCAGAAGACCCTCACCAAGTTCAAACAGTAAGTGGGATGTGTCCTGCAGGCTGCCGTCAGTCACCGTCTGGGGCCCAGCCTTTCCACAGCAGGCCAGGGCTGTTGCCAGGACCCCATGACTTCTCTGGGCCACCCACCCATTTAGGCTCCTGCTGTGAGAGAAGCCAACCATCTCTTTTTGGGGACTCAGGGAGCCTCGTTCTTCCTTGAGTCACCAAAAGCTCTCATGGTCTCTCAGGAAGGGTTGGTGCTGGGTTTCGTCCTGGGGAATTTATTTATATGGGACTTGGGTCTGCTTCGGTAAGAACTGTTGCTTCTCAGAAAGGCTGTCCGTGATGACTTCCTGGGGCTGCCAATCCACAGTCAAAGGGTGACAGTGATGCCCAGCCCTTTCAGCCCTGTTGGAGTTTTGATTTGATGATAGATGAAAGTGAGGCCTGTAGGGAGTGGGGGAATTGTCAGGAGAGAAATCCCAGAAGTCCCATGGTCCAGGGAAGGTCAGTAGGGAAGCTCCCCACTTTGTTTTCTCCTGTTCACCTTTAATTTTAGTCATGTGGGAAGATGAGGTCTCTGCTTTTACAGGCAAGGGGGGCTTGGTACATTTATAGCACATGCATCCCTGTTTACCAGTTTACTTTTTGGAATAGTTTTAGTGTACAGCAAAATTGAACAAGAAATACAGAAACCCATCCCTCGAACAGCCTCCCTACTAGCTAAGAGCAATGTGTGTGTGTGTGTGTTTTTAAAGATTTTTTAGTATACAACATTCTGCTTCCATGTATATCTGCACACCAGAAGAGGGCACCAGGTCTCATAACGGATGGTTGTGAGCCACCATGTGGTTGCTGGGAATTGAACTCAGGACCTCTGGAAGAGCAGTCAACGCTCTTAACCTCTGAGCCATCTCTCCAGTTCCCAGAGCAACGTGTTTTATCCAGTAGTTGAACCTGCGCTGATGGTTGGATCTCGAAGATTGGCGTAGTAGGATTCTCTCTTTGAGTTCAGGTGTTGTGTGTTCTCTTAGCCGATGACCTTTTTTTAAAGCCCAGGTTGGCATCCGACTCTTTATGTAGCCTGGGCTGGCCTTGAACCCCTGATCCTCCTCCCTCTATATTGGAGTGCTAGGCTTGTAGACATGTCTCACTACACCCAGCCTCACTTGCTCCCTTTGAAGATTGTGCAGGGTCCTTAGAGCAGGGTGATGACCACCAGTGCTCTAATAATGGCATGATGATTTATTATCATTGGGCTTTCAATACAGGTCGAGAGCTATGAGTTTTGATTTTCCTTTTAAAAAGGGATCAGGAATACCTCTACTGACAACCAATTTGTCCCCGCAATGCCTCTCCCTCCTGCATGCAATGGTGGCCTATGACCCTGATGACCGAATCGCGGCTCACCAAGCCCTTCAGCACCCCTATTTCCAGGTGCAGAGGTAGGATTTCTGGTAGATTGCCTAGTGATGAGTGGGAAGTGTTGGTTTATGAGATCCATGGAACAAGGAACTGGTCTGGGAACAGCTCTGTCCCGACAGTGATCGTTGCCTCTTGAGACTGTCTCTGTGATGTGTCCTTCCTTAAATGAGGCACTCAGCAGCTTCCCAGCACAGGAAGGAAGGTGCTGGCTGCCTTGGGGTAGACGTCAAAGCTCTGGTAGGCAAGCTCCCTAGAAGAGGCTGGCACACATCCAGGATGGACAGCACAAGTCCCCTGATTTTGCAGTGGCATGTATGCCAACCCAGCTCTACGAGTATGTTCTAGTAAGTGCTCAGTGGGAGGGGCTTAGCAAGGGCAACTAACTTCACACATCTACACACTCTTGAATTCGGCTGTTTGGCCCTTAGGAAGGCCACATACGATACTGCGTGGTTAAGATAGCCTTTGTTCCCAGCCCAGATAGCCCTGAGTCTGTCCAGGAAGGGAAGAAAAGCCCTTTTGTAGCTCATGTGGGAAGAAGCATGAAAAGCTATTCATAATGGCAGATTTGTAGATGACAGAAACAGCTAAGCTCTGGAGCCGTTATCGAAAGTGGCCCATGTTCTTTTCCTCCCCTGTAGGGCAGCTGAGACACAGACTGTAGCCAACAGAAGAGCTTTCTTCCCCAAGTACCCCACGGTGCCAGAGTTACCCAGGCACAACTGGCCGTTCTCCAAGGAGTGCAGAAAGCAGGTATGAGCTGAAATCAGTGATCTGGGTGGAGACTGGTCTGAGTCGGCCACCACAAGTTGTGGAGGGTGGTGACACACCATCATGTCAGCTAAGGCCTGAATACCGTGCTGCTATGGTCTCATGCTAGCAATGTTCTAATTGCTCTGTGGACTTGGCTTCAACTACCCAGGCCCTTTTTGCCTCACTAGCTACAGACCCACTGCTAACAGAACATGACCTGATGGCCTTGTGCAGATGCCTGTTCTGGACCAAAGCCTCTGTGGTCACACCTGCTTATACCCTGAGATTGACCCCAGCAGGAGGTGCTGAGAAGCCACAGCAGCCCCTGGCTACCATTGGTGAGCATGGTAGGCCAAGAGGAGCATCAGCCTGGCTGGCAGGGATTGTTTTACATTCTTTCTCGTTAGACATGGCAGCTTCACTGTGCAGCCTCTCCGTCTTTCTTCTCACGTATCCGGCTGCATCCTAACATGTGGTACCATTTGCTGAGTTCTGCCAGCTGTACAGCCTGGGGCTAGTACCCAAACTCTACCTGTACACTCATTGTTTAGCCTCTTACCAGTCAGCTGCTTCTCCCACCTTTACTGAGTGTCCATGGCAGCAGCTGATCGCATGGATCCATTGCAGCCAGTGTCTCCCAGAGCTCTGACTGCTGTGTCCAGCGCTATGGACAGCTGTCTCTGCACACCAGCGAGCAGGTGCGCTCGTGCGGTACCATCTCCTGTGTTCCCTCCGGCTTTAATTCCCCATGGCTGTCCTTCCCCAGGGTCCTGCAGCCCCCACAGATGCCCGGGCCCCATGGCAACCTCCCCTTCCTCATCTCCTGGTAGCATAAATGGCCTTCTAAGTGCCCCCTCAGCTGTGGCACCCTTTGCTCTCAAAGTGCAGTCACATCCAAGGTAGGCACTGGTTTCCGAAGGCTAAGCCACACTTGAGTGCGGGCATCTGAGGTGGCAGGATCTTACTCCAGAGCCGCACACTGACTGTTCTCGACATTCTCTTCACATACTAAGCTTTTAAAAATTACTTTAAAACATGCAGCAACTACTGTCTGTGGGGGCCCACACCTTTAACCCTGGCACTCAGGAGGCAGAAGCAGGCAGAGCCTGGTCTACATGGCAAGCTCCAGGCCAGCCAGGGCTACATAATGAGACCTTATCTCCAAAGCAAACCAGCAGAACCCTTCTTACCCCTGAAGCTGTACAGAGGCCTGTGGGCCAACAGGGGCTGGGAAGCCATCATTGCTGCAGTGCTGGCAGCCCACCTGCACCCACCCGTCACCTCGCCTCACTGCAGGTTGGCCAGAGCTCAGCCTTGAGGCTGTGCTGAGGGCTGGTACTTGATAAGATCTGCAGAATGTAGGATTCCTGGGAGGCTCTGCCTCTGCCTCTGCTTGTGGGGTGTGGGAAGGCTGCCACATACTCCCAGGTGTCTGCTCACCTTAGCTTCCATCCTGGCTCTGACAGGAAGTTTGATCAGGCAAAAGAGCTTCCTTTGCTTGAGCTGATTCCTGAAGGGGAACTGATCAGTGTTCTGTTTCAAGCAGCAGCCCCTGAGACAAGAGGAGGGCCATGCCAGAAAACAAGGGCCGTCCAGCTTGATGGAGCTGCCCAAACTGAGGCTGTCCGGAGTGGCCAGACTGTCGTCATGTTCCAGCCCCACGCTGCGGTCAGTGTTGGGCAGTGGAGCAAATGGAAGAGTCCCTGTGTTGAGACCCTTGAAGTGTGCTGGGGTCCACAAGAAGGTAGTAGTCTCTCGCTTCTCTGTGGGCTGAGCTAGGGCCTGGCCTCCGCCTCCGCCTCAAGTGTCTGTGGTTCTTCTTCACCAGACAGACACGCAGAAGGACATCAAACCTCACCTGAAACAGTATCACCTGCCCACGATCAACAGGAAAGGGGGCGAATACTGAACAGCACACCATCTGGTCACCCTCTTGGAAAGCGAGGGCAGGCGCCATGGGCAGGCTTAGGACTCTGCAGCTGAGAGTGGATGGGGCACAGCATGACGTGTGCTGGTGGTCGTCACCATGCTTGGTGGCCCAGGACAGCTGCCTAGCGGTCCTCTGTACCCATAGCCTGGAGCCGCGTGTGTTTACAACCCCAAAGCAGCTGTACTGAATGTTCCAGTTTAATATATTTGTAAAACCACCTCATTCAAGGGTTTATTTTATTTTCATAATGTAAGGATTTGAGGGGACTTTAAATGAATCAAAACATAAGATTGGGCATGGTAGCTTATGCCCGTAAATCTAGCACTGGGGAGGCGGAGGACAGGAAGAGCCCAGCCTGGGCTACACAGTATCCCTGCCTCAAAAAAACAAATAAAAGACAGACCAAAATCTCTGTGATGAGTGACTTAGGCTTGGGTGAGAGGCGGCTGTGTATGTTGTACCTCCAGGGTTTTCCCGACAAGATTGGCGGGTATTCTGGGTCTTGTGGCTGTGGTGGCTCACAGGAGTGCTGTTGCAGGCTGTCACTAAAGAAAAAGATACTGTCACAGTGCCTCATCAGAATGGTCTCCATCTCAGTGTGTTACAAGCCACTGTTTTGTGTCAGCTTTCCTGAGCTGCAGCTGGGCAGGCCCGTGTCCTGAGTGAGTGCCAGCTTTGAGTGGTGGCCATGTTGTCTCGATTGCCAGTGCCTAGGCTCCCTTAGGGCTGCAGAACCGATTGTCTGGTTGTCGGTGTTGCTTGGAGCAGGTAGCAGAGTTGTGGAAAAAGAAGGTGGGGCTAGGGACAGGCAGTGGGTCAGAGTGCTTGCTGCTCGAGAAGATCTGCACCCAATCCACAGCATCCAGCTAGCAGCTGGGCACTGCCACACCCCAATCACCCTATCACTAGGGCGGGGAACAGTGCAGGACAGAACCAAGTAGGACCTGCAAGGCTGGCAGGCTGGGTTGAGCTTGGGTAGGGGGTTGGGGCAGAGAACCAGTACCTGGAGAGGGGACCCAAGGGGACACCTCTTGGCTTTCTCTGCCTCCATTGAGCCTAGCATACCAGCCCAGTGACTTCTCGCCAAGTATTTGGTTATCACCGCATTCTGCAACGGAAAGGAAGTCTCACCCTTCCCTTCTGCCTATTACGATGGTGGGCACTGAGATGCAGCCGTCCCTCTACACCCTTCCCCACACATGGAGTGACATCTATCAAGTCCTGCAGTACCAGGTAAGTGAGCTGTCACTTCCTATGGCTCCAGGACCTGCTGTACTGTTTGTCCTTGGTGTTGGGGCAGTTATAAGACCATCTGGGGGGCATCTTAGACCAGGTGGCCAGGGACAGCTTTTAATACAGCTGGTCAGATGAAAACAGGGCTGAGTTATGCTAAGGACTAAGGACCCTGAGAGGTGGTTAGTGAGAGCTGAGAGGTGGTTAGTGAGAGGTGAGAGGTGGTTAGTGAGAGCTGAGAGGTGGTTAGTGAGAGCTGAGAGGTGGTTAGTGAGAGCTGTGGAACACAACCGGAGCATCTCTTCAGGTGGTCTTCAATTTCCACACAAGTACTGGCTGCTCTGGTGTCACTGTGATTTCCTCCTGCCGCAGCCTACAGACGGGAAGGGTCTAGAATGGAGCTGCTTCAGGAGACTGCTAGGTTCCATGCTGCAGGCTTGGTTTCCCAGGGCAGCTCCTGATCACTTTTCTTGGGCTGAGGTTTTCTTTGTAATTAATGCTCTAAGGTGACAGAAACACCAACTGCCTAAAGCGTGCCAACACTTTGTTCTAACCATTGGAAGTATATGACTTACAGCTTGTTTCACCTATACAGTGATAGGCTCAGTGCTGCCAACCCATAGGACCTAAGGTTGATCACCGGAACCCATGTGGCAGGAGGAAAGAAATGACTCTCTCAAGTGTCCTCTAACTTGTATATGCATAGTGTGACATACTTACACTAAAGAAAAAAAAAAGTGAGTCTTCAGTGAGGCACAGTGGCATATGTCTGTAATCCATACACTTGGGACTTAGAAGGTTGAGTCAGGAGGATCCTTTCGAGTTTGAGGTAGTCTGAGCTACACTGGTAGTCTGAGCTACACTGAGTTCCAGGCTAGCTGAGGCCTGTCAATAGCAGAAGACAACAAAGCAAAAGCGGGGGGGGGGGGGGGGGGGGGGCG